TTCCTTGTGAGCAGCTTGACAGTGGTGTTTCCCTCTGAGGTTTCACACCCAGACCTGGTCCCAGCCTCTTTCCTCTGCACACAGCTGAGCATCCTGAGCTCTGTGTCCCCGATCCTACTGCTGCTCACTGGGACTTTTAAACTCACGACCTGGACACCTGGAGCTCCACCACCCCAGAAAGACACCACCGAGGAAGAGTTCAACAGGTGTGAAGGTATTTCTGCAACAGGTGGGAAAAATTCTCTCTTTAGCAGTTTTGTCAGATTTGATGAAGTAATGTGGCAGCTGTGAACGAGAATAGGCTGCCGTCAGGTGATACCACACCTGTATTATAGTAATTGTAATGTATTGCTTTTGTGGATGTAACATATCCTCATCTGCACTAACTAATTTCTATATTATTTATTGTCACTATTTATATGTTGCTAAGATTTACTTTGGGGTTAAATGAGTTTTAGATGAGTTAAACTCTCCCTGAATCTGCCTGGATTCATATTCCATCTCATCTTTAACGTCCCTTAAACATGATATCATGGTACATGCTTTGGTTTCCACAAGACATTAAGTACCACAAAGTATGACAAAGGAAGTAAGGGTAAGTTATTATTGAGTATTACAGACTCTTACACTGAAGTTGACTATGTTTTGAAGCAGATTTAAAAACAGCTGGTATTGATGAAAGCAGGAAGTTGTTAAAGCTATAAACTGTAACTACAGCAGGTCACAAATATCCCTGTAGGAGTATTACAGGAATATCTAAATGGCTTCTTTCCATTAGGAAACTGTGTTTGATATATGATGCAGCTTCTCTGGATTGTCAGTGATCATATTTCATAAAACCCCAGTTTAAACCTGACTGGACACATAAGACATGTGTCTGATGTAGACGTACAGGTGAGGATTACAGCCCTGTCAGGACCGCACCTTTGGCCTGCGACTCCTCCCATCATGTCTCACACTTTTCCGAGTGTCCTGCCTGAATGTGAGCAGTGTTGAGACGTGATGGAAAGGCACGACGCTGGAGCATACGCCTTGCTGTTTACATAGGCCCCGGTGTCGTCAGAACTGCCATAATACAGGCTTCAGGGGGAACAGATCAGGTCTTATGGGCCCCCGGTCTCTCTGGGAGTGGACCTCACCGCAGTGCCTGAATGAGTGCAGTGTGGAGCTGGCCACCAGCACGGCTCACACACAGCTCAGCTCCCACTGAACTGTCACTTAGTGCTGAGGAGGCACTCCCTCCACGTTTCAAACACTTTTCAAAGTGTTTAAAGAAAGTTCACTCCTCTGACTGCAGAGTTGTGTTCTGAAAAGCTGTTCAGTTAGCAGAAAATTTAACTTCTTTTGTACTGTTGGCACTAAATTCTGTAAACAAACCGGATGTACATATAAAATCTTCATTTGAAAGGAAACTAGTAGCAGTTGAGACATAAATGTAGTGAGGTAAAAACCACACTATTTGCCCCTGAAGTAAAAGTAGAAAGTAGCTAAGTCCTACAAAGTACAAGTAAACTGGTGCTAAAGCACACGTTTACATTATGTTTCTCACATGCCAGGATGTAAACGGAAAGAGTTATTCATCACTATAATTCTGAATGAAGTACTTTTACGTTACTTTGCAGTAAATGCACTTAGGTACATTCAAGGTTTCCAGGGACAATTCTCACCAATCAACAGAAAAAAAGAAAAAGAACTGTCTAAGTGAGAATTAGCGAAGAAGATTCATGGACCAGTGTCTTTCATCGGTGTGAGTGTGTGAGTGTGTGAGTGAGTGAATGAGTAAATTAGGGGCAAAAATGCAAAAAGCTTTGTGCTGTATAAGTGCAGGCTATTCACTGTTTTTCATGGAAGACATTTTTACATGTCACAGTAGTGAAAGCATGGGTTTTGGTATTGTTCATGCTGGTTGATTTTACTGTGACCAGTCAAAATATCAGCTGCGAAAAAAGGTCTGTTCACATCAGGTATCAGTTTATAGTTGAATCTTAACTGCAGACTTTCAGTTTGAAGAGACGTGTTGCACCACATGGACATGCACTCAGCGAATTTCTGCTAAAAGTCGAGCAACTTGAGAGACATTTGCTTTTACTGAGTTCCAAGTCTCTGCTACAAGACAGTCAAGTCAGTCACCAGCCAAAGTCAAAAGAGTGAGAGGGAAAAAAGAAACAGAAACTGCGATGAGCCCAAAGAATCCCCTTTAATTCATATCCTTCTAGCTGCTTCACATCATATAAAGTTTACCATCAGCCGCAGAGATTGCATTAACTCTGGTGAGAAAGTGTTTTTGCAGCTCAGAGGAGTTTTGCAGGAGCTTGTTGAATCTGTGATGAGTGCCAGAGCTGCTTCCTCACCACCTGCCCACAGTGACAGTTTGTCCTGTGCTGTTTACTTTAGTTCTCTGTGCTTTCAGGGTTGTTGTCTGAGTTGGTTTCATTCAGTCTATTCAGTCTCAGTTTATTTTTCAGTTGCTTGCTTGCTATTACAGATACGATTTTGCAGTGGTCAGGTTGTCTTGCATGATATGGTGGAAGCAAAACTTCCACTGCCATGGAAACTTATTTTCTGCATCTGCTACTTACTGTGCAACCGGATCCTTCAACAGACAATGTTGTGCTGATGAAAACTTTTGGTTGTTTCACATGAGACATTTTTTTTATTTTGAGTTTTGCTCTTCTCACTTTTTTGAACTAGGCAGGGCTCAGCTAGAAATGTCAAAAATTTCCGTGCACTAGTCATGATTTAACAACATTTCAATCAAAGTCTTTTCATAGTTGTGGGGCTGTTTGTTTCTGTTGGTACTGTCAAAACACAAACACAGGTCAGATAAAGTAAGCTCCCGCTGATGTACAGTGTGTAAATGATCCGATAAAACATTTCCCACAATCCCCGAAAAAGAAAAAAAAATAGTCTACATTCATAAAATAAAATGTATAACTGGTTTTATTACTATTAGAAAATCTGTAGGATTCAGTAAAACTATTTGACTTTGTTGAACTTTGTTGGTGACAGAATAATTATTAAAGGATCAAATACATTTTCATTTAAGTTTGTCAAAGTGAGTAGGACTGCAAACTTTGACTTAGCACTTATAGGTAAACAAAGTCTCATAAATCTGTCGTTACATTTTCTATTTCTTGTATTGATACCATTTAATTATATCTGTCTTTTGAGACATTTTTTTGGAGAAATAACCAACATTTTCAGGGCCTAAAAGTAGCTAAAACTAAAACTAAAAGTAGCAATGTCATGATGGAAAAATACTAAATTTCCTTTAACAAACAAGTTTTTTCATGTTGAATGTAAAATCATAACTGGAGTTAATGTACAATTACCATAATAAAATAGTGACCAAATTACTTTATATAGTAATTCATTCAGTCATATATGTACATTTCATATTCAGGGTTTGTGTTCATGCATAAAAGAAATGCATGAAGTGTGGACATATGCACATGGATATGAGCAAATATACAAGCTGAATTTGGGCAAAGTCTCAGTCTTTTGCTGTAAAAGGAGGGAGGAGCAGGAACTGTTACTCAGATTTAATAACAGCAAACATTTACATTTGAAAGAACTGGAGCGCCTCGTTTTCCTGTGAGAAAGTAAGAGGTGGCTGTTAGAGAGTGAGAAACGTTACAGTGATGTGTGGTTGTGTGTTAGTACTCTGGGAAATGTAGCTGCGGTGCAACTTTTATGGAGGAAAGCTGGAACAATGTCTGTTTGGGAGTGTTTGAGACTGTAAAGGTGGCCTCCAGATTTTTCAAGAAGATATTAATAGTCATGGCCCTATATCTTCTCTCTATTGTAAATAAGTCTCTGACCTCTGGATTGTTCCCAGACTATCTCAAACTAGCCTGTATTCAGCCTCTTTGAAAGAAACCTGGCCTTGATCCAACACTCCCGCAAAATTACAGGTCAATTTCTAAGTTACTCTTTGTCCAAAAAAATCATCGAAAAAGTTTTTCCTAAAGAAGGACTAGAAATAGTGAAAACTTGAAACTGCTCTGCTGAAAGTCACCAATGATATTCTTATGAATGCAGAATCTGGCTACCTCTCTAAAGCACTAAAGCACTGGGTTGGCATAGATGGCACTGCCCTCAGATGGTTTTCTTCATATCTTACAAAGAGATCTTTCAAGATAACCATTGATGATTTTGTCTCATTGTCAGCTCATATATCATGTGGGGTTCCACAAGGCTCCATCCTAGGTCCCATTTTGTTCAGCTTGTATATATGCTTCCCCTTGGTCATTAGTCCATGCCATTTTCTTGTTTAAGTAAGTCTGCAATTTCAAGACTGTAATTGGTTCAGAACGCAGCAGCCAGACTCATGACAAACACTAAACGCTGAGCGCATATCGTCCCATTCTGGCCCAACCACGCTGGCTTCACGTACATTTCAGAATTCAGTTTAACATACTCCAGATCACATTCAAGGCCCTCCATGGCATGGCCACTGTACTTTTCACCAAGATTACTCAGATCATCTGACCAATTGCTCTTAAATTTCCTACGGTCCAGGCTCCAAACTTTATGGAATGGCCTCCCCTTCACAGTCAGGTCAGCTAAGTCTGTACCACTTTTTAAAAATCTTTTTAAGACCCCATTGCTGGTGTTGTGGTGATTGTTGTTTATTCCTGTTGGTTTTATCTGTCTTGTGGTTTTGTTTGGTTTACTATATTGTTTTTTATTGTTGAGTTTTACACATTTTTATTACTAATTGTGAAGCACTTTGTAACTGCTGTTTTACTATATCAATAAAGTTTATTATTATTACTATGTGCTCATCTGTGCAAACCAGAATCTTTAATATTATTAAAAATAGATAGGTGGAAAGGAGAAGCTTGTATATGCTGTAAGACCTACAGGAAAAATCTTAGGTGACATTTTAATGGAGATTCATTGAGTCTTGATGTTCTGTGTCATGATGTTAGATAGTGTTTGACAATCGTATTTACTTGTATTTTGCTAATTTTCCTTTGTTAATTTTCAGGTAAAATATGATCAGGTGGACCGTGCTGCTGTGTGTGTGTCTGAATGTCATCTCAGCAACATTTGACTACATGTATGAGGAGCACTCCTTCATGGGTAAGATCTCTGACCTTGTGATGCATCTTATGATTTCATGAGTATGAATTAGATCTGCAGTACTGTAGTGTGTACCAGTCAATAGAGTTTTATAGCATTTCAATTGTAAATTGAATGAGTAGTTTTTGGTCAGATGGAGTGTTCGGTATATGTCGGCGTTCTTCCTATTTCGTATGTTTCTCTCTTTGACAGACCCGGAGGATGTGCTGAGTGTGAGCATTCCTCTGGAGGGACCACAGCGCCCTCTACTGGGAGTAACGATGGTACTACCGTGTTACTTTGAGGTGTGTGATTTGGAGCTTTTGCCAAATGTCAGTTTGTTTGTACCAGTACACAGTATATTCTACTGTATATTCCATACAGTACTTCTACAAAGGATTTGTGCTCATCTTATTCTCAGACGGTGGACAAAGCCACTGTTTTTTAATCTATGTTTTTACATTTACAATGAACCAATGACTGTGTGAAATGTGAAAGACGTATTTCACAGTTACACATCCACAAATACATATCACCTTACTCTGCAAATCTATGAAGCTGTGCAGTCTCTTTTAGCTCATAGTTTTAGTTGTACAGCACATTTACTGCATGATTCACTTGATGCTTTCATAGCATTATTTTTAAAAGCAGCAGGCTGCTGATTTCAGCAAAAAACTCTCCACTACCTGCCCAGCCCCAAACAACAGACAGAAACAGTTACAGAGTAGAAAGTGGAACATTCAGCAGCTAATGAGCTGGATTTCCCTCAGGAGTTGGTGAAGACCAAAACAGAGCTAAAAGTAGCTTTAATATTGGACTTGCATTCATCAAGTACGCAAAAACATTGCTTTAAAATGATGCTCATTTTGTATCATTTTGCTGTGGGTTTGTCAGCTTGTTTTGACATCTGTCTGCCCCCTAGTGGCCAAAAAAGATGATTAACGCAGCTTTAAAGGTGCATGCATAGAGGTAAACAAATAGACAAAGTAAAGACAAAGAAACATGTTTCCTTTAAGAAAGACTGATATGTAAAACAGAAGAGGAAACATACACAAAGTGGGTCAGGAATTAAACCCCAAAGGCTCAGTGCAGCTAAATCACAAAAAAGATTTTTTTGGTATCAAGCCATGTAGGGCATTTCAGATTGATGTGGCAAGTTAATGAGATGTCTCACTAAGACTTCTGTTGACATCCCAGTACAATCGAGATGAAAAAAAACCCTGCAGGATTATGGTTAATCCACAGACCTTGTTCTTTGAGAACTATTTTCGTAATATTTTAAAGTGCTTTGAAAGTACATAACATTACTTCATTAACAGATGACATATTATCTAGAATTTAAGTCCTGAAATGCTTGAGGTGGTACATCACATTCACAAAGTGTGAGTATAGCTTCAAGTTTTTGTCATATAGGGAGTAAGTTTGTTTCCCAATAAAGTTACAAAGGTTTTGATTATGTACAGAGGGTCTGTATAAATTACATTATTACATTTAATTGTCGTCAGATTGCTGTGTTTACTGAACCCAGGAAATAATTTGGTGGTGAATGTTGTTTCCGATGAAGGACCACACTGTCCCAGACCCAGGAGCTCCCACCATCGTCCCCCTCTCTCATCGCATCAAATGGAGCCTCGTCACTAAAGAAAAAGTCACGACCATCCTTGTGGCCTTGGAAGGACAAGTGCGTATCACAGAGAGCTACCTGGACAGAGTTCAGCTGGTGGGTTACCCTGGAACCCCAACAGACGCTAGCATCAAGATATCTGAGCTACGGTCCAGTGACACAGGAGTGTATCGCTGTGAGGTTCAGCATGGCATCGAGGACAACCACGACATCGTCCATGTGCAGGTTCAAGGTACGCAGATAAGCTGAGAAGTGTCACGTGAAGTCAGTGACGTAACTGTGGTGGATACAACAAATTTGTGTTTCATGAAATTGCTTTATTTTCTGATTTCTGTGTCAAGTCATTAACACACAGAGGACCTCGAGAAAGGCCATATTATTCCATCATAGTAATGCTATAAGGCTGCAAAGAGCAATTATTTTCATTATCGACACGTCTGACAATTATTTTCTTTAATAATCAGTGTGTGCAGTGTATAAAATGTTGGAAATACAAATGCAGATCATTATTCCCTGAAGCCCAGTTTAACATATTCTAATCATTGTTTTTTCAAACCAACAGTCAAAAACCAAAAGATGTTGAAGTTTATGTCATTGACAACTGGGAAAACTAGAAAATATTCACATTTAAGAAACTGGTACCAGATCATTTCAGGGATTTTTTGCTTAAAATAAAAAAAACAACGGCTTAGATATTTAAGTAATTTTAAAATAGTTTCCAGTTAAGTTTCTGTAAATCAACTAATAAATTAATCATTTAAACATTTCAGCTCTGGGTGCTGGTTGATTTACTCGGGAGTTTAATCCTGACATCCTGAGATGACTATTGTATTGACAGTATACAGTGTACAGATGAAGATCATAGATTTATAAACATTTTATATTATTAAAATCAATTTGGAGGATTGGTCTATCTTTCTAGGGGCGTCTGAGTGTTTCTTTGCCCTGTGGTAATGACCATTAAGACATCTTCACCATTAAACTAAAGTATTTGTTTATCTCTCCAGGTATCGTGTTCCACTACCGGGCCATCATGGGTCGTTACAGTTTGACTTTTGAAAAGGCGAAGGCAGCATGCACCGAGAACAGTGCAGTCATGGCTTCACCTGAACAGCTTCAAGCGGCCTACGATGATGGTTTCCACCAGTGCGACGCCGGCTGGCTCTCTGATCAGACTGTCAGGTTAGTTTGTCATGTGATGGGCATCAGCATCAGATTAACATAGTGGTTAGAGCAACTGCTTGACACTTCTTGAAAAATCATTATTAGAATGGATCATTTTTAAAACACTTCCTCATCTGCAGAAAAGAGCGACACCTACAAACAGACAAGAAATGTAGTGGTTTTAAAGTTGTGGTACAACAGCAAATATCAGATGTCAGTGTGTATCTAAAGGCACCAACGAGAACACCGAGTATTCTAAGTTCGTATTCAAGTTTGACATTGAAGACCTGCAGCGTTTCATACTGAAATGACCAAAGCTCGTTTTCATTTAACCACAGGTACCCAATCCGTGACCCTCGTGTGAACTGCTACGGTGACAAAGAGGAACTGCCTGGGGTCAGGACGTATGGAGTCAGAGACCTCAATGAGACTTACGATGTCTACTGCTTCGCTGAGAAGATGACAGGTACACTGTGATGAACTCTGCGATGTCTCTATTTGTAGTTTTTAAGCTTGTTCTTTCATTACTTTACTCATTAATTCTAACAAACCTCTCTTGTCTGATGCAGGCAGAGTTTTCTACACTGCTTCTGCAGAAAAGTTCAGCTTCTCTGAGGCTGTGGAGGCGTGCTCTAAGCAGGGAGCTCGGCTGGCCACCACAGGTCAGCTCTACCTGGCCTGGCAAGGTGGGATGGATGTCTGCAACGCCGGTTGGCTGGGAGACCGGAGCGTCCGCTATCCCATCAACATTCGTCGGCCGCAGTGTGGGGGGGGTCTGCTGGGGGTGCGAACAGTTTACCTCCACACAAACCAGACAGGATACCCATTCCCTGAATCCCACTATGATTGCTTCTGCTACACAGGTAGGCCATCATTTAGATAACGAGTGGAGATACTCAAAGTGCTGCTCTGCACATTCTTATATTCACCTATATTTCCACCTGTCAAAGATTCTCATCCCAAAAGATTGACCATTTATTGTAAAAGGCTGTACAGTGACCTAATACATACATTTCATACATCTCCGTCCTCCATCACCTTCAGAGTCCCCTGATGAGGAAGGTTCAGGCATCATAGAAGAGGGAAGTGGCACGCTGAGTGTTACCACGGTGACACAGAGCCCAGAGGTGTTCTTCATGAGGACGACCACAGAGAGCGAGGCGATCGGAGAGGTGGAGACTCAGCAACCCACCGTTGTGGACTTCACCTACACAGATAGCCCCACCGAGCTGCCGCTGCCTCAGCCGCCCAACGCCACTGAGCTCATCACCGATCTGATAAAGTCAGTCACCGCTCGGCCCGACGTAGGCCGGGATCCCAGCAGAACCTTTGTGATGCCTCCAACTGGTCAGTAAAAGAACTTCTGATGCATGTAATGATACCTGGAACATCACATAGACAGTCCACTGAAGGTCGCTAATAATGAAGTTCCTAAGGAGTAAAGAAATGGTTTCACCACACAAGAAATCCTCTTGTGTCTATGTGCAGGTGTGGTCTTCCATTACCGCTCAGGCTCCGCTCGCTACGCGTTCACCTTCGTCGAGGCTCAGCTGGCCTGCCAGAGAATTGGAGCCTCCATCGCCACGCCAGAGCAGCTGCAGGCAGCATACGAGGCTGGATATCACCAGTGTGATGCAGGATGGTTACTGGACCAGACTGTAAGGTGAATATGAAATATATTTGTAGAGCAGGTAATGAGATTCTTGTCCCAAATAAGATTATTATAACTGATCACATTTGTTCTTTTCTAGGTATCCCATTGTTTCCCCTCGAGATAAGTGTGGTGGAGATCTGGGATACCATCCCGGAGTTCGGTCTTATGGTTTGAGGCCAGCAGACGAGAGATACGACGTGTACTGCTACATTGATGGGCTCAAAGGTACAAAGTACATTGTTTTGCTTGAACAATGACTCACTACCATAAAATCCCAGAGACTGATTACAGTAACAACTTTATTTCATCATGCACAAGATTATTGGGTGAATCACCATGCACAAGCTTACCAGCATCATCCCACGACAATCGTAATTATCTTTCCTTTTCACTAACATCTCTTCCTCATCTGCTCCTCAGGTGAGGTTTTCCACATGGGATTGGCTGAGGGTTTCACCTACGACGAGGCTGTTTCTAGCTGTCAAGAGCAGAACGCGGTATTGGCCTCCACTGGACAGCTCTACGCAGCCTGGAAAATGGGTTTCGACAAGTGCCGCGCTGGCTGGCTAGTGGATCGTAGCGTCCGTTATCCTATCAACAACCCTCGTGCTCAGTGTGGAGCAGGGAAATCAGGAGTGCACACCGTGTACGTTGACCCCAACCGGACACGCTACCCTGATCCTGACGCTAGATTTGATGCATACTGTTTCAGAGGTAAGCACTTGGCTGTTGCTATCTAACTGGTTCATTTTGAATTTTATATTATTATTTATTAATGTAAATGATTCACCACTTTCTCTTCCTGTTTAATTCCTGCAGCGGACGTTCTACTTATTGCAAATGAGACTGGGCTGAACATCACAGATATCCAGGAGATCCTCCTCAACCTGACAGCAATTACTGATTTATTGAGGCCTGGTAAGCTCTAATTAAATCATCAACATTTTTTTTATCCGTCCAGATTTCCCTTTATCTCCCAGGTCCTTGACACTTTTCCTGTTACATCTCTTTTTAGCTGTTCCCTCTATCGCCCCTCCTATCCCTGTGGAGACATCAGGCTCTGGTTCAGGCTCAGCAGACTTCAGCTCGGGTTCAGGGTCTGCAGTTGATAGTGCCTCTGGGGGTCACTCTGGAGACCTGTCCGGTTCTGGAGACCTCTCTGGTTCTGGAGACCAGGTTGTGTCTGGAGATCAATCTGCTTCTGGAGACCAGGTTGTGTCTGGAGATCAATCTGCTTCTGGAGACCTGTCTGGTTCTGGAGACCAGGTTGTCTCTGGAGATCAGTCTGCTTCTGGAGACCTGTCTGGTTCTGGAGACCATATTACCTCTGGAGATCAATCTGCCTCTGGAGACCTGTCAGGCTCGGGAGACCAGGTTACCTCTGGAGATCAATCTGCCTCTGGACACCTGTCAGGCTCGGGAGACCAGGTTACCTCTGGAGATCAATCTGCCTCTGGAGACCTGTCCAGCTCTGGAGACCAGGTTACCTCTGGAGATCAATCTGCTTCTGGAGACCTGTCTTGTTCTGGAGATCTGGCTGGTAGTGTGACTGATAAGCTGGCCAGTGGAGAATCAGGTCTTAGCAGTGCGGACGCTTCTGGATCAGGTCTTAGTGGAGAAGAATCCGGCTTCACTGTTGTGTTTTCAGGCATTGACAGCATTGTCTCTGGAGAGGGCTCAGTTTCAGGAGGACTCCAAGAAGCTGAAGAGGGGAGCACAGGGATCCTTATCTTCGATTCATCTGACGCAGGCTCTGGAGTGCTCAGTGGTAGCGGCGACCAGTCAGGATATGGCTCGGGATCTGGATTCAGCTCTGTGGAGAGTGGCTCTTCCTCAGACATCTCTGGGGAAAGTGGAGAATTCTCTGGCATGACGTCCGGTTTCCTCACCAGCTGGGACTTTTCTGGGTTCAGTGGTTTCCCATCAGGTTTCTCCTCTGGAAGTGCCAGTGGAGAGTCAGGAGAGCTTTCAGGGAGCGGAGACCCTCAGATCTTGCTGATTGATGATGAACTGATTGATGCATCTGCTCCTATTACTCACAGGGAGCATGAGCTCGGAGGAGGCCTACTGGTGTTCAGTGGCTCTGGAGACATTTCAGGATCTGGCATTCTCAGTGGTGATCTCAGTGGCTCGGCTTCAGGGAGTGGCTCAGGGTTCTCCTCAGATGTGACCTTTGTGGGGTCAGGGTTAACTGAGCTGACATTGTCATCCTCTGGAGAGCAGGAGGCCTCTGGGTTTTTACTCTACAGTTCTGGACAGGGAAGTGGTGAACATTTATCTGGATTTGGAAGCTCAAGTTTCATCTCTGGATCTGGATCGGAAATGTCTGGATCAGGAATGTCTGGATCTGAGTCCTCTGCAAGCGGAGAAGAAGGCAGTGTTACATTCCTGAGTGGGGATTTCATAACAAAGGTATCCAGAGATGCTACACTGTCTTTGGAGCTTGGACAGGGGTCAGTGGAGTACAGTGGAGACGGAAGCAGTAGCAGCAGTGGCTTCTATTCGGGCAGCGGAGACGGCTACTCGTCCACAGCCAGCGGCAGTTCATCGGGCGCTTCCTCTGGATATCTGACGCAGGTGGTGCTGCCCTCTCCATCCAGCGAATGGGCACTCACAGAGAGCACGACAGGACCGGAGGAGGCCCGTAGTGGGGCGGACCTGTCACAGACCCATCATGATGTCTACGTGACCCAAGGCCCTGCACTCGCCCCTGCAGGACTGGCTGCTCCCCCCACCGCAGCTACACCAGCGTCCGTGCAGACACCAGGCATTGTGGAAAAAACTGAGTCAGTAGCAGGTAGGCCAACCGAAAAAAAAAAAGTTCCAGCCACTAAAACGAGTCTTTGGGTTTTGACTGTTACCAGCAATTTGTAGACGTCAGCTGTGTGTGTGAAACGGTGATGGACATGTTTCACTACATGATTAATTGATCAACTTACAAACTAAATGAAAATAATGAATGTTTAATGGAGTTGCTGCTTTATCCTCTTCCGGCCACTTACCTATATAGTAACTCAAGATTTGTAATTGATGACATCATATCTCACCAGAACAACCTACAAAATGGGCAAACAGCTGATAGAATTTGTATTCTAGTCTTTAAAGAGTCGTCAAAGCCAAACACCAGACAGTCCCTCGAGCCACGTCATTTCTGCTTCCACCAACTAACAACTGTAATTAATTTCAATTTTTCTACAGTCCATTAACCTGCATCTAGTCCCATCAGTGTGGAGAAAAAAAATCAAACATTATCTCATTACAAATGTCCAGATGCACCCAAGCAAGGGCCATGCAAAAGTACTATTTGTTGATTTTTCTCAACAGCAGATCAACATTGAGTTTTTCTTTTGTTTTTAAATGTCTGATTTAATTATCACTTTCCCCAGTCAGCAGCTCAGTCAGAACCAAAATTAATTTTATTGATCAAGTTTGCTGATGACACAACTTTGTTTAGACACTGAGCAGGTCCTATACCAAAAGACTTTAAGACTTTCATGTGACCCACAACATGAACAAAACCTACAGTGTTATCATTATAACTGAATACTGTAATATTGCACCACTGCTAAGTAGATGCATCTTAAAACTGTGTTCAAGTCTTGAGAAATGTACAGTACAAAAACAATGAGAACATGTCCCCTCCAGTTCAGATGAATCTCTCTTTTGAAAGTAGTAGTGTATGTCGCTCATGTAGGGAACCATATTTGTTATAGGTGGCTTTAACCCATGTGACCCCAACCCCTGTGGTGCTGCTTCATGCACAGTAGAGGATGGAGTCGCTCTCTGCCATGGTGAGTCCCAAAACAGTGGCATGTGCCATTTTTTTTTTCTCTTCTCCTTTCTTTCTCTGAAAACTACTGAATTCAGAATTGTGTGCTGATGATTTGGTTTAACAGACTTATCCAGTAACATTTCTCTGTATGTCTTGAACATGAACATTTTGCATGTTTTATATTACTGGTCTGCGTTCTGTTTATTAATCAGCTTGTCACCTGAAGTTACACCTTCATATAAACATTTAACTGGTTGTGATTACATCGTGCATCAACCTTACCAAATATGTTGTTTTCTCTCCCTGCTGTTCTGTCCTGATGTGTTTTGCATCTTATTTTGTGGTCCTCTGATTTGCTTTGTTTTGCATTTTGTCTTTGTCTGGCTATGGGTCCCTCTGTGTTTGTGTGGCAGACTTGAATCTTAAGGTGTTTGTCAAATATGTATCAGCTCTGCTGTGAGGTTGTACAGCCTCTGTGTCGTGTGTTTATCACAACTGTCTTCAGCATATATGTTGTTTTTGGTCTGCTGTGCCAGTATGCCGCCTCTGCTCAGCTGTACGCATGCTAAACCTCGGGCCACATATGTGCTGTCTGGCATCATATGAGTGCTCTCATCCTGCTGGAATTCAAATACTGATCTTCTGCTGCAAATAATCACCGATTCAAACATAAACTTCCTGCAGATATTTCAATCATTAGTTGATCTTTGCAAAGATAAACACGGATTTTATTTATATTTCAGTATACATCTTATATCATCATCATTATGTAACCTGGAAGACATCATATTATAAGATTTATCCGAAACAAAAGAACATAAATGATGACTCAGTGTGCAGTAAGTCTAATCTGAATCTGACGTTGCAGCAGCTTCAGTATTATTCACTAACTCCTCAGTACTGAGGTCTGATATTCCTGCTATCACACTTCCACCCCCGTCACTTTGCTGGCCAACCCCCCCACCCCCACCCCACGCTTAAACAGTAGTGTCACCCGCCCCCTTTTTTGCAGACGTAGATGTGTGCCATTCCAACCCGTGTGCCAATGGAGCCACCTGTGTGGAGAGTGCAGACTCTTACAAATGCTTATGCCTGCCCAGCTATGGAGGGGAACGCTGTGAGATCGGTACGAGATCAGCTTCAGCAAAAAAATACTAACAACTGCCTCTCAAAAACAACTGAAGGGAGAGAGATGCTAAACATCACCAGCAGACAGCATCATCACTCACTGTGGCTCTGTAAAAATACAAAGTCATGAGGGCTCCTGTTCGGCCCGGCAGTCGAAGATGCACAACGTATGTGATGTCCCTGGTCTGCCATGAGACCCAGGGCAAAAGATCATAAAAATAGCTAAAGGATCAGTTCATCCAAATCACAACATATTACACTTACCATGAGTGGTATCAAGTCATACAGTAACTGTTCAATGCTTTATTGCCTTAAAACATTGAACAGGTGACCCTTTGTTAATCCCCTTTCTTAAGCAGCGATGGTCCAGTCATAGCTTAGCAACCCTAGGTCAAGTTTGGAGTCTTCCCAAGATGCCAAAGCGATGTGCATGAAGCAATACCTTTGTGGGATTTCAGGTTACATTAAAATCCTTGATTGCCCAGTTCAGGACCAGCACATCTGGTGCATTGGAAATGGTCCCAGATTCTACTGCAACGAATCAGCAACAGCATCCCACTACAGAAATTGCGACCAATGCTAAGCGTCAGATCTGCCACCATTATCAATATATATATGTCATCACATAATGTTAAAATGTAAAGATTGACTAGCATAGCAACAGTAACTAAGAGAGGAAAAACCCAGCAGTATTTTCAATATTCTACTCAGGATAAACCACATAGGCACAATGTCTTCAGCAGAAAGAAGTTCCAATGAAAACTGCTCTTAGAGACAAAATAATCCCAAGTAAAGGTCTTAACTGTCTTCTTTCAGGCCTTTGAACTGCCTCTCATGGTCTTCATCAGTTAACAAGAGGCAGCACAGGTGTCACCACTGATCTTCTATGACACCTGAGCCACTTGCGTTTGCTAGCGAAGTCCATGAGATGCTGTTGAAAGGTCAGAAAAGGCTAGTCAGTGAACCTTGAGTTGAGATTATTTTGTTTCGCAGACATGAAGATTGAAGGTCAAGAATGAACGTCAGTGCTCATGTCTGTGGATTATCCTGAGTAACAGGGACTTTGTTTTTGGATGTTGTGAAAGGCATGTTGTGTGTGGGCAGCGAGAGAAATCTCAGACGTGGATATATGAAGCCAAAACTATCTGTATGACTGAATGTTAGTTGAGGTAAGTGGAAAATATATTAAATCAAATCATTAAAGTGAGGCAAGAGAATGAATGAAGCCTTTGAATGTCACACCAAAGGAAAAGAAAATTGGAAATTCACAATTATGTCACTGTTGGGCATGGCCCTCCCAGCTAAAGTGAATGATTATGTGTGATTTTCCATTCTGTACTGGGACGTTTGTTTTGTGCGTCAGGATGGAAACACTGTCCATCGTCCGATTTACACCAGATGCCAGACCGACTGAGGGCAGCGCAGTGGGAAAATATGTTTCCTCTTTGACTCACAAAACAAGTGCCGAACATGTAAAACTGAAACACTACATGGGTTGTGAGGAAAGAAATGCCTCTCATCATCAGATGATGTGCTTTATTTTTCCTACTGATTTCTAGGTGTGGATGAGGAATGATGTTAAGTCTTATCTGGGTTTCAAAGCCATAAACACTGCAAAGGGAGTATATGTGGGTGAGAGTGCGTTCCCTATGCTGTACATTGATGAAGTGACCTGTTTCACAATGTTTCCTCCTCGGTGTTGCGGCTGCAGATGAGCAGCAGTGTGAAGAAGGTTGGACTAAGTTTCAGGGGAACTGCTACCTGCACTTCTCTGACAGAGAGATGTGGCTAGATGCAGAGGGTCGCTGCCGGGACCTGAACGCCCACCTGGTCAGCATCATCACCCCAGAGGAGCAAGACTTTGTCAATTGTGAGTGCTTAACACTGAGTTTTTGTTTCCATGGAGATGGGGACATAGAGAGAATTAATCAAAGTCAACATTTTTTCTGCCGCAGCAAACGCACAGGACTACCAGTGGATTGGGCTCAATGACAAGACAGTAGAAAACGACTTCCGCTGGACGGACGGCACTCCACTGGTGAGTGACCACACCACACTGGTGTGTTACTGGTGTGGTTTTGGCTTTTGGCACCTTAAAACAAAGTTGTATTTGCTTGTGACTCTTCATCACAGGTTGCATATGACCACAGGAAGTGGCCAGTTCAAAGATCTTTTGATTTTTTTTATCACAGAGGGTTTTTATTTGGATTCTCGTTATGCAACATGGATGTATTACTGAATGAGCACACTGGGGCTCAGGGTTAGGAGTAAGAGGGTAACAGAGTATGTTTTTCTCTGCTCCTCAGTCCAGTTAAAAAAGAAATTCATAAGCACTGCTTGTTAAATTGTCAGTTTTGGGAAAACATGTGAGATGTTCAGCTCAAAAGCCCTGAGATTTATCTTGTGGCCTGTTTTGGGGCCCGAGGTTAGGAACCACTCATGCACTGTATTGTAGCATTACAGTGTTGTCTAGAGTTAGTGTAGTAAGTCCTGACTCCTTGCTGCCAGTTTTCCCCAGTGACCAAACTCAAAGATATCACCAAAAAAATTATCTTAAAAATATTGTCCCCATAGACAAACAGTATAAAACAGGCATTTTCAAACAATCTAACCCAATACAGACTATGCTTTAATCACATTAATGGTTGTGTACTGATTTGCATTTAACTTTGTACCAGATAATTAAAGTTCAAAATGCATGAAAAGTTGTTTTTGTGATTTTGGAGAGGTCTCTGTGATCATCTCTGCAAACTGAGGCAGAGTGAAAATCGCTGTTTGCAGTTGATGATAAGAAGTTGTCTGAGCAGGTGAAATGAAAATGCAATGTCATACCAAAACAAGCACCAAAATAGCACTGCACCACCTGATGTGCATAAACACAACCTCAGATTTACCACCGCCCCACCCGCCTCAACACAAGTGGGTTTATTTAAAGGCACAAATTTACTGAACAGGTGCAAGAACAAAAAAAAAAAATTGACTTCATGGCCAGGTGTCTGGATGAAAACAGCACCGCTTTTACACAGGAGGCTGCACTGGTGGAGGTTTGTCGCTTCAGGTACTGGTGGGATGACAAGTCCAGTTTGAATAGTACAATGGTGAGTTAAAGGTTCACCAGAGGTCAAAATAAAATACTGCACAGCTGTTTATTAGACTATGAAACAGATAAAGTTGCAGGAAAAGAGCGAGTGAGGTTTAACTTTGTTGCCTTTGGAGCCATCTGCAGCAGGACACCTGTAGCCTAATTGAAATGAATGATGTGGCTGAATTTTTTCACACAGTGCTAATATCTGTCTGAACATGGCCTCAAGGTTGGGATGTGCCTGAAATGAACTACTTTATTATACAACACCTAAAGGCAAGAGAGACAGCCTGCTGTTAGTAGTTCAAACAGCGATAATGACACACACTTTTGGAGAGTCTCTCCTCGAAGGCATAGTGTTGCAGTAGCTTGTAGATATGAAAATGACAGGAGTAGCTGTGTAAGGAAAGAAAAATGTTCAGTTCAAATCCTGCTTCCTTTCTCACCTCCTCGCACCGCACAAATGATTGTTGGATTGTCAGCTCTGGAGAGGTTGTGAAATATGTCAGATGCACCAAGTGTAAATGTTGGAAAGGTGTCAATCACCTTACGAGAACTGTTTGAAGCATTCTGCCGCCTTTAATGATGCTGCTAGCTTTAAACGTCTAGATCCCGGCCAGCGGCTGTTGGGCTACAAAAGTGTTGGGTTATACTGAAGTTTTTACTTAGAGCCTTACCAACAGGAAATCTAACCATGTAAAATTTATCCCAAGGAAAACCTGGGGGCTTTGATGTGGAAAAGGTCAGGGGCTCATCACACAAAGTCACATTTCATGGCAACCTGGCTATTAGTTGTTGAGATATTTGGTGCAGCAGTGTATATTATTTCACATTGCAAGGTGGAGCGCAGCGCTGCATGATAAATACTAAGTTTACCATAATACAGTGCAGAGTGATGAATACTAAAGGAGATTCAAATGAAACGTTGTGGTCCCTCTTACCCTCTGAGTGGAATTACTTTGTTGTAAAGTATTTTTTCATATTTCCTTCTCTTCTTCAGCAATTTGAGAACTGGAGGCCAAACCAGCCAGATAATTACTTCAACTCGGGAGAGGACTGTGTGGTAATGATCTGGCACGAGAACGGCCAGTGGAACGACGTGCCCTGCAACTACCACCTGCCATTCACCTGCAAGAAAGGCCCAGGTACAGTGTGTCGATTCAGGCGACAGACCTGGTTCTGATAGTCTTTTGCAAAAGGCTTTAAAACGGTCTTAACTGTCGACTTTTGGCCACTAGGCGACAGAAAAACATCAAGAGAAAGTGGCAGATGCAGAGCCCTGACATATTATAATGTGAACCTGGCCCGACTTGAGTCTTGGGTCATGTCTCAGTTACTAGGAATATTCTTGTGAAGACCTGGTAATGGTAATGGAGTAAAACCAAAACATGGAGCTAAAAGAGGCAAAAAAGCCCCGAAGAGCTGCAGATTTGTTTGATCATTCTCTAGTTTCAGCACAAGTGACCGCTTTCACACAGCCATTTCGTCCATATTAGAGATATTGATTAATGCAGGTTAAAATACTGCACTAACCAGCACTACATATATCAGTCGGCGGTTGTTGGCTAGCTTTTCATAGTGTGGTTACAGCTGTTGTGAGAGACATACATACAATAAGTGGACACATGGTTTGATATGGTCCCTTGTTGTCCCTGGTTCTGCCCCCAGTGTCTTGTGGCGCCCCGCCGGAGGTCGAAAACGCTCACATGTTTGGTAACAAGAAGGAGGAGTACCCCGTCAACTCCATCATCCGGTATCAATGCAACCCAGGATTTAAACAGCGCCACCCACCGGTGGTTCGCTGCAAAGCAGACGGACAGTGGGAGAAACCCCAGGTTGAATGTACTGACGGTGAGTGCACTCTCCACGGACACCCTGTTGTCCAGCTCAGGACTAGATTGTAGAGAAAGCTGATACGTAAGGACAGGTGTGTTATTTTCTAACATTGACTCATCCCTCTTGTGTTTTTCCCTCGCCGCAGTGAAAGCCAGAAAAAGAATACAGCGGAAGTCCAGCAGAAGTCCGGCCAGTAGCAAGCTTCACTGAGAAGGACAAAGAGGAGTTGATAATTTCAAAAGAACGTTTACACCACAAGAAAATCTATTTTCCATTTTAGTGAAGATGATTTGAAGGGTTAAATTTCTGAAAAGCCCACATGAAAGGTGCTACATCATGGTAATGTGATTTTTATCTCTTCTACCCCCTGCCCCTCATAATATATTTTAATTAGATACACTAATTTTATTGCTCTGAGTTTATTTTCATTGTGTGTATTGTAATATAATTTTTTTTGGTGAAATCATTGCTGGGATACTTTGTTCTGTATGAGTTTTACATTTATGGATAGCAGCATCTGTCTGGTTCATTGTAGTCTGCTGTAGATCTGTATCACAGAGATGGATGATGGTGGATGATGGCATGTTAGGATTTGCTCAAGAACTGGTTTATGTAAGGTACCAAAGAGTCGTGTGTTTGTTAGCATAGCTCATTGACATTTCTGTAGGAGAAAATACACGGCGGGGGGAGATGCTCTTTAAGGGGAAATACTGTTTTATTTTTGAAAGGTCACATCAATCATCTGAGTTCCCCCATGGTTCCTGCTGGTTTCTACGCTCAGTCAGTGTAGTTCAAGTTATCAGGGCTCGTTTTTCTTCCTTTAAAGAAGCACCTTCCTGCCACTTGATCCTGTGATACAGCATCAAAAACAACTTCCATAGAGCAAGGCCATCCAACACTTCCCATGTTTTAATGTAGCTCAGAGGTGAAAGAGTAAGCACATTAGAGAGCTGTTAAAGATATGAACAAGATAAATATCCCAGTTAATGGTTGAGCAACACAAGGCTTTGTTTACACTGAGCCATTTGAGCATCTGGATTATAAATTTGATTTGTCACCTCACGAACCTTGGGTTAGTTAGGTGAAAGGTCAGCCACTGAAGAGAGAGTGAGTCATTTTATTGTTTAAAAATGGGGATAATAGAGGTGAATATTCGTAGCGTGGCATTCAGTTGTAGTGCAGAGTAGTATAAAGCCTCCCTCCTCTCTTCCCTCCACACAATTGACCAATCACAGTGTGCAGATGGTGTAAACGTCAGATCGTCAAATCCTGGAAGTTATAGAAATGGTCAGACAAAGACCCCTCTTATCCAACATCAGACAGTTTGGGGGGAAGGTGTTGGACAAGCTATCCGACCATCCAACAAGCAGCTCAGCGGGAGTATAAAGCCTTATTCACGTTCCAAGTTTATTTATTTCATATCTGGAACCAATGTTTCATTTCTAATCAGGTTAGACACTGAAGTTTGGAGTTTTAGTTAATGAAAGTGAATGTTAAAAATCCAAACATATAAGGGATGTAGGTGTATTGTAGGCAAACTTAGAAAACGTAAACCTGCTGCAACTCTACATCCAACTTGTCAAATGGAATATTTCTTGGAAAATACATTAAATTATCCTCTTACCAAGAGATAGATGATTAGTTTGATATTGCTGTCACGTCTGTACGCAAAACATGAAGCTACAACCAGGAGGCGATTAGCGCTAGCTTAGCATAATGACTGTGAACAGGGGAAAAGAGCTAGTCTAACCTCTGTCCAAAGGTAAAAACATCTGCCTACCGGTAGGCTACTTCTAAAGAGCAAATTAACATGTTATATGTCGTTTTTAAGCGTTTTGTATGAATTAAACAAACTACAAATAATATGTGAAGTAGTGAGCTTTAGAGGTGCTGGTAGGTACATTTCTTTTTTTTTTACCTTTAACCTTTTTTAGCTAGCTGTTCCCTCGCTTCCAGTCTTTATGCTAAGCTAACTGGCTGTAGCTTCGTCTTTAATGGACAGACATGAGAGTGCTAATGATCTTCTTATCTAACTCTCAGCAAGAAAGTGGATAAACGTATTTCCCAAAATGTTTAAGCACAAGGCCAAATCATAGTAAAGCTATAATTCCATGTACTGCATGTCCACCATGCGTTTTAGATTTTAGATATCTAATCTCAACACGGATTTATACATTTTTAGGATTAGTGGTTTTATTGGACATTATATCTGGTCATAAATACATACATGGATGTGAACAGGAAAAAAAGACATCACTGGTATATAACATTTAAACCAAACTAAGAGAAGGCCAACACTCCCAACAGTAAAGTAACAGTAAAGTCTGTAAAAGTATCTTGTAATAATGGTGGTTTACAGCAGAGACTTTTGTCAATGTGAACACACAAGCTTTTATTTATTGATTCCACACAGTGACACAGAGTCTCTCCGCTGGACTGAGCCAGTAATTGAGAGATTCAACACTGTTGTATGAGACTACAGAAGCATCAGCCACACACAGCCAGGGTGAATACAGTTTTAGTAGCTTCATATTTCATATTTAATCTGTAGAGTATTAAGAGATACTTCTTGTGGGCCCACAGTTTTTGCGCGGCTGGTTTGAGTCTTTTGTTTTCTGTGTGTTTAGTCACTATCATCTTCCATGAGGCTGTGCAGTGCATAGTGTTTGTGTGGAGCAAGTGTCTTTACAATGAACCTGTTATCTATTTCATTTTTGTAACCTCAGAGGAAATAACCTCACTGTAAACACTACAGTGTGACCTGCTTGTTGTTGTTTGTTTTGTTTTTTTTTTCAACTTTGACTGCTTTCATTTGTGCACTTGTTTTGTGTAATTGTTGCTGTATGTGGGGGCTGTGCCTCCTTCAAAACATACGATCACCTGCTGAATGATAAACCAAAGACGAAGCATTTCCAAGCTGTATGTGTTCATGTCTGCTCCAACCCCTTTTATTCACTAATTCAAAGGATGAAGCTGGTGACGTTCTACATTTCTCTTGTTAATCTCATGAAAAGGCTAAAACCAGGTTCTGCATGTGCATCCAGAGCCTGTTATATTTTATTCCTCTGAGCCAAAGAGCTCCATTGTTGTCCAAAAACACATACGTTGTAGTTTATTTTCACATGAACTGTCCTGCTGTCCCAAATACTCACTAGACCTACCACGTTTTTAAAAAATTAAACAATACATTTGTTAACAATTTTTAATCATTTACGCACTCATAAAAAAAATAAATAATAATGTACTGAAGGTGGACATAAATGCATTTCTGGTTTGGGTCTTTTCATGTGATTTTTTAATTGGCTACTAAGAAAGACTCCAGTCTTATCCTTTAAATGCACCAACAAACATCTTGTTGATTTGAAAATCACCACAGCAGACAAAGCAGTGGTGTATGAATTCGACCATAAAACACTGGTTCTTTGCATGGGGCAGATAAAAACAAGGAACTGATATATTATAGATAATAAATAAATATATATTTGCCTCATCCTTGCATGACTCTGTCTTTTGATTTTGGCATCAAAGTGCTGCAGAATGAATCCACATGAGCCCCATGTCTCAGTGCTTGTACTCTCAAAACACATTAATCAGTGCCACATAAAAACACTTCAGTTCTTACCTCCGCTGATGAATTCAGGTCACTGTCATAACGGTATGGCTCTCATCTCTGTTCATACACACACAGCTACCTAAGATGTTAACGTCACACATGTGAAACTTACATAATTAACAGACTGCAAAGATCAGTCAGCCCTCCATCAGTCCAGCAGGGTCGCCGCCCAGATATTCCAGGTACCGACAACAAACACGTCTTTCACCTTTTCTCCTTGAGTCTCAGTGAACTCAGTGTTTCTGTGGCAGCAGCTGAGGTAAACAGATACAGAACTGACTCACAGGAATAATAAAATTACGGTAAATTTGTATTTACCAAACAGGGTGGGTTGCACATGGCGTCAGTGTTGCCTTGTGACTGAATAGAGTCCTTTTAAGGATCCTCTGTACCCCACCCATCACACACACTGGCTCACCTCCCTGCCCCGGCTCTCTGGATGAATCGTTTCTCTCTGCTCTGGGGATATTTTGCACTTGTCAATTAGTAGAAAACAGAAAATGTTTGTAACCATTGCTAAGTTCTCGCTGTGAGCAAACTATGACCATGTCAGATAACAGCAGAAAAAAACACTAACCTGAACTGTGTGTTAGCCACCAGAGTCAACATTTTTGCTGCTTGAGGTTTGAACCTCAACACGCACACATGACACATGTCTTACACATGTCTTGTAATCACATGTAGCCTACAGATGTACAGAGGAAGGCTGGTGGATTATTAAGAATCTAAAAAAAATGAAAAACAAACTGCCTCTAAATAACAAAACACTTATAAATGTTGTTGAGTATGTCATACAGTACCTTCAGACAGTATTCAGACGCCCTCAGTTTTTCCACACTTAATTGTTTTGTATTGACTGGACACCAACCAATCACGACAAAGGATGGTCTCCTTGGAGACAGTTGCTATGCCACTTGGAACAACTTACTGGGCATATTACATATTCTTTTGATATTTGAAGTGGAAAGAGGTAAATAAAAACCCCTGCAGCAAACAGACAAAATTGAGCTTAAATTACAAATGTTACTGCACTGTTACTATTTATTTCATAAAAAGTGGAAAATTAAACAGTAATTGAGGCATGTAGAAACTGTGAGTTTAAAAAAAAAAAATAATAATCATATTTCATTTTTTATTTGTATGAAACCTTTCAATCTCCAGGAATAATTAACATGAGAAATGAACAACAATCTAATATATTCATAATGTAATGTAATGTAAGATGCATGATAATTTTTTTATTTTCTTGAGTTTGCCTATCTTTCACTTTGGTCCAAATTTGGACTTTTAGCAGTTAATGATAATAAATCTGAATGTTTGCGGAACCAAGTACACCACAACTCTTTTCCCGGTCGGACCATAGACGAGGAGGACTTCCCTTGGTGGTTTTTTTTTCTTGCTGGATAACGAAGGCTTTCCCAGAGTTGATAGCGGAGAAAATACCCTTGTGTGCTAATAAATAATCAGTTCAAGACACCGATCACGTCCTAAGTATGTACACGGTTACTTCAGCTATCAGAGCGGTTGATAAAATCGTTCGTCAGGTCACAGACAGCTGCTAACTAAAGCCACTAAGCTAACCAGTGCTAACAAACAGTTTCAGTTGCTGAATCTGCTGGTACCGTTTGCTTTGAAAAAAAAATATAAAAAAATAGGTCTTAAATTTGTTATTAATTAACCAATCTAAGTGGAAGATATCAATAAATGCTAATGTCCTTTAATTGAACGAAAACTACACAAACATCTTGAAGCTAGCACACCTGCTCGGCTGTGTTGACTGTTGTTGGCCAGAAATGCATTTGCCCTGCGTTAGTGGAGTCAGACAGCGTATTAAAGATGATGATAAACATTACAATTATTTCCACTTTTACTACGTGCAACATTAAATATTGCTACTGTTACTACCATCAAATGATATAATATACTTTCTGCATGATGAGAACTTTTACTTTTAGCACTTTAAATTTATTTTGATGCCAATACTTTTGTACTTTTACTTAAGTAAAATGTTGGTTGCAGGACTTTTTTATTTGAAACAAAGTACTATATTATGCATTGCCACTTAAGTAAAAGATCCGACTACTTTTATTAGAATAAAACGGCAAAACAAAACCAAATCTCATATTTATGACAGGTGACACTTAATTTTGTATGCACTTGTTTATTCAGAGGGTTTTTCCTTAACAACCTGCCGTCATGTGAAAAAAAAACAACCTTTAGTTTCCAGTAAATAGCTTTTTTTTTTTTGCCATTAAGCAATGTCATAATGTAAAATAGAAGGTGTTTACGTGAGACTCAGACCTTCTGGTAGTTTGTGGAAACTATGTGCATCATAATAGCTAAAAGTAACTTGAGCATGTTTGGTTTTATTTCTTCCTTGTTTCTCTGTACAGGTTGATGGCCTGTCTTCCTCCTCCCGTCCCGTCTGCTCTGGCCTCATTTCTCTCCTCGTTGCTTCCCCGTGGCTTCGCCGTAGGGCCTTCACATCTCTGTGAGGGCAGGCTGGGGCTGTGGTGGGTTGGCCGCTCGCTGGAGGCTGGATCCCTGCTGGGGAGGGAGGGGGACACAGAATGGACCTGGAGTTATCACACCGACCTGATGACTCACAGTCGAGAGGGTGAACTCACGATAGAGTCCAAAACAGGTCAGACCAAAAACACCGAAGCAGAAAAGGTAAACAGAAGCGGACAGAGCATTTTTCATTCACAGTATGGTTGAAGAGTGTGGAACCTGTAATCTGCAGGTATTACACTGCACTCAAGTTTGTACATTTTTGTTTTGATTGATATTGATATTCGGTTCAGGGTTTTTTTTTTAGCAAAGCAGCATGAACACAAAGACGCAACAAAACAGTAAGACAGTTGCACACATGAAAAGCGGTGGAGCTACAAGCGGACCCCACTGCATGTATACACTATATAGAATACATTAGACCTTAGAGAAGAAACACAGGTGTAAATATCATAGTATATCATATTCAGCACATAGCTACAGGTTTGTCTTTATCTTTATGTTTTTATTTTTACCCTTTATTTAGTCTATTTAGTCATTGTATATGATTTAGCCTATAACTGCATTGCTTTGTTTTGTTAATGTTAAGCTGTGCAGGGAACTAAGAAGCAGTTTCTGGCATATTAGAAGAACCTTTATTAGGTTTAAGGTTAAACGTAATTACATGAATGTGTGAACCAAATTTAATTAATTGTCATTGTTCAACAGTGTTGAGATATTTCATATGTGACTAGCATAGCAAGAACCAGCACCAACTTCCTGTCAACATTAATCCATTTTACCTCCTTCGTTGCTGTTTCATTCATATCGCCTCAATCATCACATCAGAGCTTGATTTCAATTATGCAGCCGCCCACGTGTGTCCTGTAAACGTCTAACTCAAACACCTCTTTGTTTTCTGTGACGCAGATGGCCCATTAAGTGCATGAACTTTTGTTTTAGTGCCATGGAGTTTTTAACTACATGCTTAACTTAACTATTGGTTTTCTTCCTCATGGGTACCCGTGCTTGTCACCTTTCAGGGAGCTGGATTTACGACTAAAATTCAGTTGTACAGGAACCTATAATTATCCAGTGTTTGTGCCTGAATCATGGCTGCTGCCGTACAGCACTGGCTTTCTTCATAAAAATAGAAATTCAAATTACACCGTAGAATGTCTCGTATCAACGCCTATTTAGTTTAACGCTGTTAGTCGTCCCATGAAGATTCAAAATGCCTCAGCAGAGAAGACAGAAGTATTTCAATAATTCATTACTCATACAGCAACAGTCAAGTGTCAATCCACCAGAAGTAAGTCCTAGACCTGAGCCCACCCTGTCTGACTGATGCGAAGACGTCTCAGTGCTGATTCAGCCTTAAGATTCCTCATCATGACTTTTACATTCACCAGCAGCAACGTCTTTTGTTTGAAGCCATTTCGTCTTGCTTGCAGACAGAACTCGTGGCGCAGACGTGAGCCTTTCAACTTAATTAAGTGCAGACCCGGTGGGAAGATAATGAATCAGTCCTTTTAATTTCCACTAAGCGTTCTACAGAAGAAAACATCAGGAGAAAGAGTCAGAGCTGCTTCGCGGATAAAAAGATGTACCACTGATAATTTACAAGGGCACTGCAAGTGATCCACATACAAAGCACGACCCAGCCATCAATTCATTTTTATTTTAAGTGTGTCTGAGTCCGTAATCATCTTTACTGACATGAATATAAAAGTTCCATACTGTGTTCAGGTAGAAAATACTTGAACCAGATGGATAATGAACATCTGATTATTTAGTCAGTAATAAAATAAGTGTTTTAATGTAAACTTCTGTGCTGTGTTTTGAAGGTACTGATAGAGATCGCAGCAAATAAGGAGGCTCTTCTGGAAAAAGCTGTCTGGATTAAGTAAGTTGACCCACTGCCTCAGACCAAACTAAATGCATCTTTATCTGATTCTTCAGAGGTATTTGACCTCATGGAAGAACCACTTGTATGAACAGAAGAAGCATGTATGAGGCATTATTAAGAATTTCTTCTTTTCACTCTGGGAGCATTTTTGTGAATGAGAGTTTTGCACAGATGCAGCTGAACACGTTGCCTTATACATTCAGTTTTGGGGTGTTGATTGTACTACTGATCAAATCTGACCAACACACAGCGACTCAGGGACAGGCGATGTTCATCAGGTTGTAACAAGCTATTTACAACAAGTTTCTAAGACCCTGTTCAGACCTGGTATTAAGTGGACAGCTGTAAGTACAGACTCGAACGCACCACAGACGCATTGGCAACGCACTTCTGGTCCGATCACTGAGACCACATTCGAGGGTGGTCTGAGCCACATGTGGCCACGTTCTTGTAGCAAACAACAACACATACGTTTATTTTTCATATGAAGCAGGGAAGTGAGATCCGATCACGAGTGGTGACTCGATTTTAAAAGCCAGATGTGAAGTGACGTACTTAAAGCTGACCACTTGCGATCGGATCACTGAAGACACATGTTAATGCAGGTCTGAACAGAGCGTAAGAGAGTGGCGAATCCCTTTGAACGCTTGGTCTTTTATGTCCTGAGTCTTTGTAACCTCTGGCTGTGTTTCATACATGCAGCTGCATAAACACCCACAGGGATGACACATCTGAAACTGTTGTCTCTTCATGTCAGAGCCCATCCAATGCAATACAAAGTGCCAAAAATAGCTCATTTGGATTCAATATATCATCTTTCCGTTTGCACGGATTTGTGCTTTTTCTCCCCCCAGCTTTGCCTGCCAGGTGCGCAGCAGAGCCCAGCAGAACGCGGCAGTGCAGTGTGCGTGTGTAGAGGTGTGTGTGGGCGAGTGTGTGGATGTGTGTCTGCGTGTGTGTGAGGACGTCCAGCCGGGAACAGAGCTGCTGTTGTATGATGAAACTGTTGGAAAAACTGAGACGACAAACAAACCTGACAAACAGAGCAACTCCACGGCACAAGACACAGGTAACGACAGACATGATCACACAGCGATGATTTTAGTTACAGATTTTAGTTTCAGACAGACAGGTGGGTGCATATATATATATATATATCCTAAATCTGCGGTTATGCATGATTTGTATTTATGTGCAAGACTTTACTTTAAGTCTACTTATTAAGAACTTATGAGCAGTTTACTAACATTCAGGTTTTACGCAGATGTAAGGACATATCATTTTTCTTTTTTTCTTCAGTTCAGTTAAAACAGTTGTATTCTGATAATTGCTGCTTATTAAAGCCAAATAGACGGGGATGAACGTGTGAAGTGTCCCCAGTCCATGATAACTGAGTTATAAAGGAATTATTAACAGTTCTCCAGCATTAGTTTAGTCAATAATAACATTAGCAATGTACCAAACTGGATTATATGGACCTGAATAATGTAAACAGACTGGTTTCTGTCCACCTGGAGGAGCTAGAGGGACATTTAAATCCACTGGACTCAGTTTCGACCCCAGAAAACCCTCCAGTGTCATAAGACAGCTGAACACATGAAAGACTGGATGATGAGCACAGTCTCAGCTCTAGTTTAATGAAATGTGCTGGATGTAAACACAGAGGTCCTGGCGGGTGAGTGAGAATCGACTTTGAGAATTAGCTCAGTGACAAGAGAATTTACATGTCAAGATTATTTAAAATCAGTGACATCACTGAGTTTCAGTCGAGAGCTTTGTGAGGAAAAACCTCTCATCAGCTGAAATGCACTCAAACTGAGGATGAAAGCCGGAGATGAATAATTAGAGGATTAATCATTTTTGGTGAACGCAAAGTACATTAATTAAATGAAAACACCAAGCAAGAAAAGAAAATCATTAAAGCATGTGTGTTACAGAGGAATAATATGCCCTCCAGCTCCGCTAATCCGCTATAATTTCTGGTTCGAGAAGCATTTATCTGCTGTGATTGATGCAACACTAAGGAGGAAACCTCATGCTGAAAATACCAGCAGCAACAGACTGGGGATGTCTTATTAAACAAATTGATCATATAAATCATGGTAGCATCTCCAAAACAATTAGGAATCCTAAATGAAAGCTAATAATATAAAAAGCAATTGATCCCTGCAGGGATGTTACATTTTTGTGAAAGCAAATATTAATTATGTTCATGTGGAGAAAAGAAAAATGTAACATAGGCAAGAAAAAAACCACAAGAAGATAAAAAAAAAGCTTTAAACTGAAAACAAAATAATGAAAGCAGAAACATGTGCACAACTAAAAAAAACAGAGCAAGCAGATGTTAAATTTATACTTATACTTATACTTATACTGTGCATACATATGAATATAAGTTATTGCAAAGTGTACATACAGAACATGTGTGTATATAAATGTGTTTAGAAATCAGTTGTACTTGTTGTACTTGTTGTGTTTTATGCTTCTTTATACTTAACTAGTGTTAAATATTCAATACATGATTAAAATAGTGTGTGTTATTCTACTGCATTTATTAAACAGCTATATGTAGTCACTAGTTACTTTGAGGATAAAAACCCTAAAATACTTTATGGGCATAAAAATACAGTGTAATATGATAATTTAACAACGGCAGAGGCTGTTCTGCCTAATCAGTGTTTTTACTTTTATACTTAATGAATATTTGGCTGCTTCTACATCACTACATGACTTCAGTGATTAGTTAATTATTACATTTGTTGGAGATTAATTTATGTACTGCTTAAATTTCTTTTTCTTTTCTTTTTGATTGGCCAGATAACAAGGTTGAACACAAAGAGAGCCAAGAAAAGGAAGAGACGGATGACGAACAAAAGGAGAGAACACAGGAGGAAGAGGAGAGGGAAGAGTGCAGAAACCCCCACAGGTGCATCAAGAGGAGTCACCCAACCAGACACAGGAGGAAGAGGAGAGTCCAGAGAATCCTGCACAGTGATGGACGGCGGGAGAGTGGCACTGATAGTCAAACAGACAGAGCTGACGCCGTCAACGACATCACGACAGCAGGTGAACACACAGACAGCACAGGTAGAGTCCCGTCTGCCGGGGACAGACAGCCACACTGTAACTCTCCAGACAGTCAGTCTGACTCCCGAGGCCTCTCTGCAACCCCCACTGTCCGCTGCAGCTCCCGCCTGGCTGCGAAACCACGTCGTGTTCACTGTGTGACCAGCCGGTTGAAGCGACCCCCCGCCCGCCCCGACCCACCTAAACAGACGGAGGGACAGAGCCGGAGCTGCACTGAGGGCGCCACGCCCGTCCCAGAAAAGGAGGTTTCCATGAAGATACAGTTACACGCCGATGCTGAGGCTGTCGCGGCAGCTCCGGCGTGGCACCCAGAGATCAGAGAGAGGCGGTACAGATGTTCCAGCTGCGGTAAAAAGTTCTACCAGCTCGGCCACTTAAAGAAACACCAGTTCAGTCACTCAGAGGAGAAACCCTTCAACTGCCAGGAGTGTGGGAAAAACTACACCTCTGCAGAGAGCTTCAGAGCCCACCAGGTAGGGAAGTCCAGATCATATTGGTTTTCAGAGGCAGATACTGATATTTATATTGATACTGATAATAATATTGATATTGATACTGATAATAATATTGATATTCATGTTTATTACATGAGCATAATAAAACATTTTCAATAAGGATGAAGTAATTTGGTTATTTATGACATTTTACAGAAATGCTTTTTTTTCAGAGCTAAACATCATTAGACATTAAATTATCTATAATATTGTTTTATAACAACTATAAACACAGTTAAGACAAAATATATTTGTAATTTTTTTTAAAGTTAAGAGAAATAGCATGCATAACTCGCATACAAAAAATTTAGCCTATAAAGAAGACAGAACTATATAATAAACGATATCCATCTATAATAGAAATAGTAGAAGTCAATAGATCATTTTACACATTTTATTGTCTAATATCAAGTTTTTTCGTCCTGAAATGAACCGAGTTTTGGTTGTAGTCTGCTTTAACACTGGGTCATGTGGTACTTTTACTCCCTGATGGACAAACTAAGAGACGTGGAGACTCTTTTTCTAAAATACCACAAACATTTTTCATTTGACATTTCTTATTACATTTACACCAACACAGATTTTGCTGGAACAGACTAAAATGATCAGATAATATTCTTTCTTATATCCTTTTTCTTTTTCACCGTAGATCTTTTTTCCAGCTGAATTCTCCCTGTATTTTTCAACGATGGTGCAAAATAGCGACTCCACAAGAATCCTTTCCTCTTTGTCTTTGAGGGACTGATCACAAGAGCTGGTTTTTACCGTGGGTGTTTTTTAGCTGGAGCTTTTTATCACAATCTGTGTCTCTGCTCAGCTATCCACAGGAAAAACGTGACAAATGAAAGGGTTTAGAAATGCAAAATACGTCACCAGTTGCTTTTTTTAGACAGTGTGTGGGGGTACGGGGAATTTTTCTTTACCCCTTACTGCTCCCTTAATGACCAGCAGCTGAGTCATCATGCAGAGCAGCAATTTACCCATCCTAATGAGTAATATAACTAGTGTTAGTAATAATAAGTGTTATTTGAAATAATTATGGTATCATTTGTAGATGAGTCACCGTGGGGAGCGTCCGTTCTCCTGTCCTCACTGTGAGAAGACCTACGGACTGAAGCGGGACCTGAAGGAGCACATGGTGCTGCACACCGGAGAAAAGCCGTACACCTGTGAGCAATGTGGAAAGGCGTTTGCACGCCGCCCCTCCCTACGCATCCACCGCCTCCTTCACTGCAGCAGAATGATCTACACACAGCCTCCGAAGGTAGGGACGCACTGTTAAGTGCTGGTCACTCATCTGTGGTGACATTTTCAAATTCTTCCTCCTATTTTAATCAGGGGAACAGTTGGCAAATCATCATGGGACAGTATTTGTCCTGAAATGAGCAGCCAGCAAGGAGGAATATGTTTAAATTGCTGCTGCTGCTTCACTTGCCCTTCAGCTACTTCACTTTTAAACTGAAAGTTTCCATCTCTACACAACTCAACCAAGTTTTAAAATCTTTGACGTCAGGTAACATAAATTTGCACGCTCGTCGTCTTGTTTCTCCCCAAACAGCAGTTTGAACTTTAAAGTATTTAAAAAGAGTGTAAAAGGACACGTTGCATTTGATTCTGGATTTCTCTCCAAGGTGCAGTGCACACTCTGCCCCAAGCTGCTGGCTAACTTCGGCTCTCTCAGGAACCACATGAAGCTCCACACAGGGGAGAAACCTCACATCTGTCAGTACTGTGGGAAGTGCTTCAGTCAGAAAGGTAATGTCTGAGGCCCAGGTCTGATCCTGGAGCTGCAACCGGCTGTCAGGTGTGCTCAGTTTGAAAATGCCGCTGTGGCCAGATGTTTCCTAGCCAGCAGATCTTGTTAGAGGCCAGCAGGTCGTACAGACCTGACTGAAATGAGTAAACAAAGTAATCTCGCAACCCAGGCACTTTGGGCTGGAACTGATCGGTAGGGATGTCACGATACCAGAATGTAGGTAGTCGATACCAATACCATTGTAATTCCACAATTCTCAGAAAACAGAAAACAACAAAGGCTTCTGCTCACAGTATGCGAACACACATGCACATGTGAATGCATGCACACACACACTTCCATATCCTCAGTGTGCAGCAGTTCAAACTAACATGGTGACAGACCCATGGTGTGAACATATTTATTAAAAAAACAGCATTATATTTTAAATGATTATATTAATATTATTTATTATTGTAGCTGCTAATGTTGAGAGAACGCAGCTCATGCTATGAGCTGTCGGTACGTTAGCCTAAACAAGCTAACGTGCACGTTGTGTGTGGAGCGTTGCTTTGACTGATTTCAGCTGTATCAGTAACATTTCAGGACATGAACATGTTGATGACATGTTGTTGATATAAAGTTAACAACTGAAACTCAAAAAGTTGACAGTTTATTAGGAACACCTAGCTAAAACTAATGCAGTCCAATACAACAGTCCTGCAATAAATCAGTCCAATAAACCCAACTATCCCTTTAACTTGCCCCGATTCTTTTCAACAAGAGATGATTACACAGTGTTTTTTTTTGTAACACCCAGAGGACGTCTCCAGCTGTGATCAATTCCTTCCATTTACATTTTCATTTGTCAGCGTGACAGCATCAATCTTGTGTGAGGAGCTAATCTTCAAACATTATTGGACAGATGCAGATGCACTCAGCACCAGCTCCCTCTGCCACCACAGCCTCCTCCATCCGCAAGTATGTGTCTGTCTAACTGTCTGTCTCTCTCAGGAAACCTTGAGTGCCATTTGAGAATTCACAGTGGAGAGAAGCCATATCCCTGCTCCGAGTGCAACCAGAGTTTCTCCCAGAAGCCGGAGCTCCGTCGGCACATGTTGTCCCACACCGGAGGAGGTTTTCTCTGCAGCTACTGTGGAAAATCCCTGAGGGACCCGCACAGCCTGAAATCCCACGAGAGACTGCACACTGGAGAGAGGCCACATCGGTGCCCTGTCTGCGGAAAAGGTTAAAACATGAGATCATAATTTAAAAGTCTAATACAGCTGTGGAAAAAAGTCAAGGGAGACTGGGGACAAGATCTCTAATCCCTCTTGGCTAACTTATTCTATGAGGATTTTTGCCATTTCATCTCAGTTTGGAGCCACATTTCATCTTCTGTTTGCATCTCTTATGCAGCATGAGACTATAAAAATAGAGACAATCTACATTCTTATTAAAATAAGACAATAAAGTCATAAAACGCTGTTTACAACATGCTTCCAGAAAATTTTATGTACTTTCTTGGCTAAAATGTGACAATCTGCTTTTTGTTAAAGAATTAGAAGCGAGTTTCAGACTGAGGAAAACAAACCGCAGCTGAAACAAAACAGTGAAAAATGAGTCAATGAAAAAGCCAGTTAGGGGCATGAAGCACATTCTGGCCAATTCCCCTCCAACCAACCTTATTTATCTCACTTAGCGGGCTGCAGATGTTCTGTCCCGCATACATGATTGGAAAGCACAAGCTGCTGATTGCAAGGTTGTTCACATTTACTTTTTATGAAGCATAAGACGCCAAAAAAAGTGTGTGCTGAGTTCACTGGTTTCATAATTGATGAAGTTAAACTGTTTTTTTGACAGGTACAAATGGCATTTTATATTTATGGCTGGCTAACAGGCATTTTATTTTATAATTTTTTTGTAAAATATAATCACAGGAGTGGACTTCGTTATTTCTGGACTTCGGTTATTTGCCGTAGCTATAGGCAGTTCACACCTCACAAGAAGGCCAAGAAAAACCAATGTATCTGTTTTATGTGTTTACGCTGCGAGTTCGACTCAGGAGGAGGAACTGTTGGCTCGTGGTCTTAAGATAAGACAAGATGTTCCTTTATTAGTCCCACAGTGGGGAAATTTGCAGTGTTAGAGCAGCGAAGTGGACAGTACAAAAAATAATAAATAATAATAATATAGTATCTACAAATGAGGTATTTAACTATAGCAAAAGCAGCATCAGATAAATGTTATTGCACAGTTGGTGTATGTTAATTATTGCACATGGTGAGTTTGTCAGTTTTGGGTGTGTGTGTTTACCGAGTGCCGTGTTTGATGTACAGTCTGACAGCAGCCGGGAGGAGAGACCTGCAGAATCTCTCCTTCACTCGCTGCGGGTGCAGCAGTCTGTCGCTGAAGGGGCTGCTCAGTGATTTCTGCTTTTTTTTTTCTTTTTTTTTTTTTTTCCCCTCAGGCTACACGTTGGCCACCAAGCTGAGGAGACACATAAAGTCGTCTCACCTGATGGAGAAGCCGTACAGCTGCCACTGCGGCGCTTCATATACTGTGAGACAAAGTCTGCTGAGGCATCAAGCTCAGCACAGGACAGAGGGAGGAACTCTGGAGGAGGTGGAAGGAGGACACGGGGAGGAGACGAACAGCAGCAAGAAAGACGCTGTGCAGGAGTTAGCGGCTTTAAGCTCCAGTCACCCGAAACCAATCAGAGGCAGACCCAAAAAGAACTCCCTCCCTCAAGGGGCAGGAGAGAAGGAGGCTGGTGAAGTGAAGCGGAGAAGGGGACGAGGAAAAGGGGAGGAAAAGGAGGTGAGGCAGATTCAAGAGGATGAAACCTCAGGAGGGGGAGATGGAGAGGCTTCAAGTAACGTCCAGCACGCCGTCGTCTACGTCCACACAGACAACCTGTCCACGCCGAGCTCCAACCCTCTGCTCCTCACCTCCGAAAACTCACTGCCCGCAGGGACTGGGCAGGAGCTGGTGGAGGTCGTGATATCAGAGGGCGCAGAGCAGTGCATTGTGGTCCACGGGCAGCAGACTGTAGGGGAGCTGCTGATCTTACAGGAGGAAGGGAGCGGACTCTGCTCTGTGGCTCAGACCGTTGAGATAAACACCATGTAGCCTAAAAGCTCAGTTTCCTGAACCATCTCCGGTGGTTCAGATGTTTCAGTGAACATCCAAAAATATCATCATTTCAATATGTTCAATACATCTCAATACACGTGTTGTTTTTGTTTCTTACACCCTCCTTCCTTCAACCTACCTCATCTGTTTATTATTTTTTGTGTACCCCAGATCGCCTTTGAACAACCTTTACAGATGTGAACAGATGTTAACTCAGTAGGATGTAGGAGGTTAGAGCAACTTAGATGCGTCCCGGTGGAGAACTAGAGGATTAAAAGTCCTACCCTTTACTGAGACGCCAAATTATCTCATTACATTCTGGTGTGTGTGTGTGTGTGTGTGTGTGTGTGTGTGTGTGTGTGTGTGTGTGTGTGTGTGTGTGTGTGTGTGTGTGTGTGTGTGTGTGTGAAGAGAAACTGGTCCCTGGGCCTGTTCAGCGATGGATTTCTTTTGTTCTGACTGTTGAACATCGGTGCATCCATCGTTTGATGCTGAGCGTCTGACATTTACTTCTGATCCTTAAGCTAAAACAAAACACTTGTGCTGTCAGAGTGAAGCTACACTGGAAGTAACTCAACTTGACATTAAGTCCTCTACATTTAGTCAGATATCCCCTGGAGTTTAAAGAAAAGGAATAAAACAACAAAATACATCCAAAAATATAATGTACTGTATGTGTGTGTGTCTTTATCCACATCTGAAGACCCTGTTCTCCCACACAGGTGTTTACACTTGACCTGGCTGCGTAGCTCTCTGTGCAGGCTGGAGATGGTCATCGCACTGCGTGTACTAAAAAAGGTGTGATTTTTCTCACCCTCACCGGTGAAACAAAGATAAAACAAGACTGAAGAAGATATCGATCAAACACAGTCTGTATATTCCTGTCCTTCTGCTGTTTGATGCTGGGCAGGTAGGTTTAATAATAAACTGTAAGGTCACTGATGTACTTATTTTTACTAACAAGTATGTATAGACAGTAGCTGCAACACCAGCATCATTGTTCACATTCTTGCTTGCGTTCTTTGTGTGTATCTGGAGGATTAAAGGTATATCCACTAGGGTGTAGATGGCCCTGTCTCAGACCTGCTTCAGCTGATCCAATCACCAATCATCAAGTGGACAGCTCTGAGTACGTCAGTTCATATCTGCAATGACTCCTCTCACCCACAGCAGTCGCCATCTTGGCTACATAGTGGAAGCGGAGGGACCATCGACGTATTTTCAAACTTGTGAAAACGGCGATTGAGGAAGGAGGAAACATTGCACAATTTCCATGTTGACACAGGGGCGTTCATTTTCAAGTCAAGAGAGCAGAGCAAGTCGCGCTGCACAGAGGACGTATTATAACCTCTGGTATTGAAAATGCGATAATGGCTGAAGCTCTTGGCAAGCGACCATCACCACGATAGGACTGGAGGCCAAAAAGTGGAAACTGTTTTATAAAACTTATACTTGAAGTATTCCTTTAACAGTTTAACCGATATTATGTATTCCTGTTTTCTTGAGCAGAGCATTGTGGGTTGTTTCTTCTGCCTTCAGTAACATCACCATATGGAGACATGAAACACTGTAGAAGTAAAGGAAAGAGCCGATTTCTGGAGGCAGCACAACTGCGACCGAACATCAAACTTTCTCTGCTGTACTCTGATCATATCATTTAGACAGTGATAACGCGAGGGCTTAGTCACGTTGCTGAAATGGAGACAAACACTTGAGTCGCTGGAGAGCCACAGGATGATGGAAACCACCGTCTGTAAAAGACCCTCCATATAACCAGGTTTCAAAAGCTGCTGAGGGTCTGACGAACACAGACATAATGCATAAAAGATATCACTTCACATTTCAAGGAAAAATCCTCTGATAGATACATTATCAAGAGTGCTACTCAAGCAGATTGCCTTCCCAGAAAACACTTGTTTGTGGGTTTCTTTTTCTGACCTCCTTTCAGAAGTCTGCATGGAAAATAAAATAGAAAGTGCAGATTAATTACAAGGTCGGAAAAAAAAATTGGTTGTGTCAGAAATGTAATGTCAGAAGACAGATTGTGTGAATGTGACTTTAAAGCATCTGAATTAAGAGCTTTTAACATTTTGCAACAGGTCTCTTAGACTTTTATTGGTTCTTCAAGACATTGGTTTTTAAACTTTTTTATATGCAACTGTTGGATGTTGGTGGAAAATCACAAAAAATGTACTGTTATCAAACTTACACTATATGTCCATAAGTATGTAGACAGTACCATGTACACTTTGGGCTGTTTAGGTGCAAGGCCCCTTAGTTGCAATCAAGCGGGAACCTCCGGGGCTGAAGAATGAAGCCAAACCCGGTTGTCTCGAAAACTGCAGTTCCTCGAATGGCCACTTGAGGCTGGCACCAAAAGTGAGTCAATCCCCATAGACTCCCATGTTAAAACATCCAACTTTACAGCAGAAATAAACATGTTTACAGTCTGGTATGGTTATATATAACTCACCTGTTTAAATTTTACTGAGGCTTAAAGTTATGCTTTATTGAGGGTGTCACCATCTTGAGTGGGTGATATATGCTTGTCATAAACAGGTATGCACCAAAGTATCAGCTTAGTTAGGAGAAGTCAGGCTCTGCCAAGATGGTGACGGTGGAGCAGCCCACTCTGAGCTTCAAAACTGCTGCAAAATACAGTGATTTTTTAGAGAATAATGTGCTTGCAGCTGTGTCAACATTTTGTGTTTGTCTTGTTCAACATGACGAAGTCCCCACGCACAAACCCAGGTCCATAAAGAAATGGTCGTCCAGTCTGGTGTGGAAGAACTTGATTGGCCTGCACAGAAGCCCTGACCTCAACCCCATCCAACACCTTTGGGATGAACTGGAACACCAACTGGGAGAAAGGTACAGATGATGGTTTCAAGTTGGTAAAATACCCAGATTCATTAAACACAAGTCTTTCATTCAAAATCTGTCTTAGATAATCTGTTCAGCCTCTTTCTGACACTGCAGCCATCTTAAAATATTAAAATAACACAGCTGACCAATCATCACAGAAGTAGTCGGACGCAGCGCTCACTAATTTGACAGAAGAAAGGTGTGGGGGGGAGGGAGTTTCTGAAGCTATTTAACCATTGGATAAGCGGTTGTGAGTCAGTGTGTGAGTCAGTTGACTTCACCAAAGTCAACTTACAAATACAATATTCATGACAAGTCTTTTGGTTAAATATTTATCTGCCAGTCATCATGTTAAAGTAAGAACCTGTGGCATTTTTGAGAACTTGAGAAGCATGACTAAAATGAGTTATGAGTTAATAAATGTCAGAAAATATAAAAATATATGTTCAAAGCTCTACACAGTCTCTGTGGTTTAGGAGTGATACTGACTGAAGTAAAAACTGTACTTTTTTATACTAAGATATTTTCATTTCCCACCTCAACATACCATCCAAAAAGAAAGGATTTGGATTTGATAAGCGGATTAGGAACTGGTATCCCAACATGTCCCCGGAGCCAGGCCTAGTGTCTGAATGTATAAAAGTATTTTATGGCCATTGTATGCCTGTATTGGTGCATCAACAGTAGAGAGATGACATGAAGAGGGTTGTGAGAGAGTTGGGAACGATATTCAACGAAGGTCTCCGGGTGGATGGAAAAAGGCAGAGTTGCGGTTCACATTTGGTGCCATGCCAATAGCTGTTTTTAGTATTTTAGACTTATTTTCATCCTTCCAATTTACTAGTATCACACACAACAAATGAAGCCGCCTCAGTGGACCAAACTCTGTTATAAATCTAATGTTGTTTATATCTTCAGTGTCCCCCAGGACTCCCAGCCGCTCTCAGCTTCTGCCACTCGCTGGCGAGACTGTTTAATTTGTTGGGAGGTGCTGACCCACAAGGTACAACCTCCTCTGTAAAACAACTTTGTGAATCATGTCTTGCATTTCTTATATAAAAAAAAGAATGTGAAAATTGTGAAAAGAAATCATATCGTCACACTCTCAAGGTTTCTCATTCTGTTTAACTGCTGTTACGTCCCCTGGTGAAAATAGAGGAGGAAATGGAGACAATAACATGACAACCAAAACAGGATTCAGGCTGTTTTCCTAAACTGCGGCTGCAGCAGCTCAGTGAGGCTTAGGACATTAGTGATTTAGAGCTGCAGTGGCTGTGGGCTTCTCACTGTAATGCATCACCACCAGTTTCTTCGTGTGAAACCCCATTTAATTCTTGACTTGAAGTAAACACCTCCATAGTTGCTGTTGCTATCATTTATAATCTGGTAACTCTCAGAGGATAAAGTCACCGTCATATTTCATATTCCAACATTCTCATCATTATTATGCAATGAGCCGATTTAGATTAAATAACCTGCCAATGCTGTCACTCGATCAGCTTCTGCATCAATCAAACATTTATACCCGTATCTTTCAGTCTCATTAGATTTCCTTCATTTTGAAAGAGACGTGAAATGAAATGACCTGGCCACGTTGTCTGATGTCATTTTCTTTTGCATCTCAATGTATTTTCTTTTTGTTAAATCACTTCAGGCCAAGGAGCCCAAGGGTTTTTCTGTCTGCAGTGAATAACAAGCGAAGTCTTAACTTTGTTTATTATTGAGCTGTAGTTATAGCTGACGTATTTATTTAAACACACACGCTGTTGTGTTGCTTTACTCTTGGTCTGGGACTGTTTTTCTTGGTTTGGGTTAAAATAATGTCCGAACATACAATGATGTGTTAGACCAGTGCAGACCTGGACCTCACCAGAAGCCTGAGACCAGAGGAGTGGAGGATGTCATGGCAGCAGATTAATGCCCATGATTCTACAACGACGTACATATATTTAAGCCATATAATTTAGCCTCTTTCTTTCTTTCTTTGGAAATGTTATTATCATAATTTAGGAAAAATTATTACAACAGAGACAGCGGTTCACTTTGGTCTGGGCTGCCATTCGATCATTTATTTTCTTAAGATGATAAAAAAATAAAATAAGATCATGACAGACTAAATATTCCAAGACGAA